AGGCTCCGGGGGCAGGAGACGCATCGTGATGGCTGCTCTGTTGGCCCAGGAGAGATTGACAGTATTTTGTATATATTTGCTCGTTTTTCATCATTTTTTTAAAAAAAGAATGCTCTCGCGGTCACCTGGTATCTCTTTCTGGAATGTGTGTGTGCAGCAGAGCGTGTCCCTTCACCCCTTGTCCTTGAAGAGGCACATGTTCCCGCTGGGAGCCGGTCAGCCGCAAGCCTCCCCTGCGCGCCCACTGCTGCAGGGCTGAGCCTTGGGGGAGGTTTGCTCCGCCTTCGGGGTAGGACGGCCTCTCCCGCACCATGCTGGCCAGCTGTGGCATGTGCTGTTCTGTTTCTTTGAGCTCCAGTCAGGTCACAGCGTTCCTTTTCTTCCCTGCGTCGGTGGAGCTTCTCGGGATGAGGTTAGGGTCCCAGGCTTCTGTTCCCGGCTGCCTTCTGCACTCGGTTTCCCTGTCCCTCTGCCACTGGGGCTCCTGTCGTTCTGTCAACTTCACATCCTTGAGGTTGACCGGAGCCCGGTGCCAGCGCCCTCTGCTGGTGAACGGCGAGAGCACCGGAGCAGGTCTCCCTAGCTTGCTTTTCCATCTGAGGCGGGCCAGGCGCGGGCCTGTTACCTACTTACGGAAAATCGGGAAGAAGTTGGTGCTGACGCCTTGGCACCCTTCTGCTGGGATGTGGAGGAAAGTAGGTATTTATGTGGCTCCATTATGAGAGAACACCAGAGACTAAGAAGTAGTGACTTACACATTTTTACCTATTTCTACCTTGGTGACCCTCTACTCAAACGAAGAAAACCAAGACTCTCCATTTACAGTTTCCCCATCTTCTGCACTGAAACAGCAAATTGTTCACCTCCCCCAGCGATGCTGTAGGACGTTTAAGAAGCGGTCATGTGTTTCGTTCGAGTGGGAACATGGCCTGTTGAACTTCAAAGTTTTGTCTCACTTTCTATCTTGTACCCATTCTCTCTCGTCAGTACTGTCTCCACTGCTACCGAAACGTCTTCAAATATTGCAAAGAAACACTTGAAAAGCTGTGTCTTCTGTCTTTTCCTTTATGCTCTGGGCATTTGTTTTCAGTTCAGTTTAGGATTGTGTGGGTTTCCACAGCACTGCCTAAAAACACAAAACCCAAACCCTTTTGAAATGAGCAAATACGGAAACCTGCCCCTTCCTGGCCTGCTTCTCCCCAGTCTTCGCGCCATCCTGAGGGCTCGTCAGGATGCATTCACCCTGGCCTTCCTCCCGGTCGCACCCATACCCCCTCCAGGATGCGCTTTCATCCTCCAGTAAAACGTGTCAAAACTTGAAATTTCCCTTCTTCACAATAGCTGCTTGGCACCTACCCAGAACCCCAGCAAGACCCCTCCCCTTATTTGGGGCAAGGGCAGGGTAGCGGGGAAGCCATCAAGCCAGTCCAGCCTCGGGTCCTGGAGCCTGTGTCCCTGGTGCAGGTGTGGACCCCGGCTCTGGCCCAGGCTACACGCCCCTCGCTGTCCTCAGGACCGGTCTGCTTGCCGCCTCCTCTTGGCCCCAGGAGCACGGCTTTCAGAGCACTTCAGCGGTTCGCTTCAACCCATCCAGATGCCACCGCTCGGGTGTTCTCTCCCCTGCCTGGGCTTCTCTCCCTTCAAGCAGCTTCTATGCAGACGCAAAGGTTTCCTCCTTCTCAGACCTCATTTTTCGGCTTGCTGGGAAGAAGTTTTAGGGAGGCACATATGGGGGGAGTGGTTCCACTGATAAGTATTTTCTTTCATTCACACACAAAAAAAATGACGCTTCACCAGTTAGACTTGGGTTTGTTCTGGCTCCTAGCTTGAGAGCAGAGGACCCTGGAGGTCAGTGGTTCTAATACTTCTGAGGAACCAGAGAGGTGGGTCCTGCCCCTGGTGTGGTCCCCCTGGAAAGACTGCAGGCAGAGTCCGGGTACAGCCTGCAGCCAGGTGACCTCGATGCTGGACTGGTTGGTTTTGTGACTTGAAACCATTGGTTTATCTCTTCAAGCCTTGATTGAGTTAAACTCTCCTGGCCCAGCAGGTGAACGTGCTTTAGAGAAACCAAAAGCGCCACACAACTTAGTAGAGATCTTCAGGGTAGGGAGTTTCCAAGCTTCGGATCAAGGTCCACAGTTGTGCACCTCTGGCCTGCGGAGGGTAATTATTCCATTGGCGGATCTGTTGCAAATCACATTTCAGATGGTGTCTTGATAATTTCATATTTTGGGGCCAGATGGGCGGTTCGAATCATCCTTTTACCTCATGCAGTAGAAGAAGGTTCCTCTGGTGGGAGAAGTTTCCTCTGTGTTTTTGTCATGTCTGTCACATCTGCGACCTGGGGTCTCTTTGCTGGCCTCTTTGAGGCTGCTGTATGCTGTGATTTAAAAAAAAAAATTTTTTTTTAAGTTTATTTTGAGAGGGACAGAGATAGTACGAGTGAAGGAGGGGCAGGGAGAGAGAGAGAATCCCAAGCATGCGCAGAAACCTACCTGGGGCTCTACCCCATGAAACAGTGAGATCATGACCTGAGTTGAAACCAACTGACTGAGCCACCCAGGTAGCCCTGAGTGTGACTTTTTTTTTGAGAGAGAGAAGGCACAAGTGAGCAAGGGGCAGAGGAGGGCAGTGAGGGGGAGGGAGAGAGACAGAGAAGGGAGGGGAGGGAGGTCAGCCCCGCCCGGGGCTTGAACTCATGGAACCCTGAGATCATGACCTGAGCGAAGTCTGATGCTTAACTGAGCCACCCAGGGGCCCCAAACTGAGTGTGATTTTAATTAAAGCTAGATGCTAGCTCCACGTGTCCACCACAGTGCTCGCATTAGGCTGAACGCAAACACTGGGGACTCCTGGGAAGCTTTGTGGAGCTGCCGGGTTAGACAAGGGAACACCTGGCCACCAATCTGAATGTTAAGTGTTAGTGACACCTACTTACTTTAAGATAATTTCTTTTCCTACACCTGAGGGTCTCACCCTGTACGCCCTCCTTCTGGGATGCCTACACCCCAGCAGCGAGAGTTGGACTTGGTCCCTGTGGGAATCCTGAGCCTTAAAAAAATGCAGGCCCTCCTCCCCTCACCCTAATTTCTGATTTGGGGGCTCAGGAATTGACACTCTAATATTAAAATCCGACTAGCAGACCTCAATTGGAGCCATGTTTGGGGACTGTTAAAGAAAAAATATTCTATTAAATAGAAAATTACTGATACTTGTTAAAAACTTAATGGCAGACTTTATTCAAGGGTGTGTATTACAATTGGGTTTTATAGTAAGGGAGAGCCATCAGGCTTAACTCTGAATACAAGAGGGAAAGGGACTTTATAGCCAAAGAGTGGATGGAAAGCTGCTAAGAGGAATCACCAAAGGTAAAGGGGGCGTGGGAG